GGCGTCGCGGCCTATCCTGTGGAAATAGCCTTATCTCGCGATCCTGTGGGGGCGAGGAGGAGTGGCCATGTCAAGGTCTTCCCCGCACGCAGATGACACGCGGTGCAAATCGCCATTTGGTGCAACCAACTTTTAGGGACCGCTTTTTGCCTCAGTAGTGCCAGGTGGCTGATAAACTCTGCGAACTTCTGTAGTTACACTGTGCCGCTTTCAGGCATGCGGCGGGTTGTCTAGTCACGTGGGGTCGTAACGGGTTATCCTGGAAGTAAAGTCCGTCACTCGCCATGACGAACCTGCCAGTTGACCCTGTGCAAGCTCTCATGGCGCCTGGTGGGTAGGCAAAATCTTGCCTGCAGCGCATGTGTGCACTGCGGGGTGGCCTACTCCGAGTCTCGCAGGCGCTGAGTTCCGATAGTTGGACGAATTAAGCTGAGAAAAACGGACTACTTTATGGGCGATCCCTTGGGTGCCGGATGGCGAACGACTTGCCAGCAAGCATGCATTCGGTATAGTGTAACTACAAAAGTGAGCGGCGTGACAAACCACGAGGTATAGCAGAAAGTCGAAAGCGCTGCCGAGCTAATCGGATGAACCTTGACATTCGGTTTTGTATGCCGTTCACCAAATATGATTTAGCTGTTAATTTTTGTCGCTTGTTTCAGCGCGTGTACTACCTGTCCCTCGAGTACTATATGGGTCGCTCTCTGCAGAACACCATGATCAACCTGGGCATCCAGGGTGCTTGCGATGAAGCAATGTACCAGGTAAAGTGAACGTCATGTCGTCTGAAGCATAATTGTACCGGATAAAGTCCTCAACATGCTTGATGTCACGACCCTTTCCTCAGGTGGGCCTGGACATCGAGGAGCTGGAGGACCTCGAGGAGGACGCTGGTCTGGGTAACGGTGGTCTCGGTCGCCTCGCCGCGTGCTTCCTGGACTCCATGGCCACGCTGGGCCTCGCCGCCTACGGCTACGGTATCCGTTACGAGTACGGTATTTTCGCCCAGAAGATCAAGAACGGCGAACAGACCGAGGAGCCCGACGACTGGCTGAGGTTCGGCAACCCCTGGGAGAAGGCCCGCCCCGAGTACATGCTCCCCGTGAACTTCTACGGCCGCGTCGAGGACACCCCCCGTGGCAAGAAGTGGGTGGACACCCAGGTGAGTGTCGGAGCCCCTGCAGCCCGCAGCGTAGGCAATATCTGGTCCGCGGCGCACGGCTGTGCGCGTGTTGCCTACCCGCACGGCGCTCACCCCGGGCCTCGCTGTTGCAGGTCGTGTTCGCCATGCCCTATGACAACCCAATTCCCGGATACGGTAACAACGTTGTCAACACCCTGCGACTCTGGTCTGCCAAGGCTCCTATCGACTTCAACCTTAAGTTCTGTAAGTTGGCTTATTGGAAGATGACTAGTTTTCTTTCAGTGAGGAGTACAAGTAATTGACTTTTTTTTTGTTCTAGTCAACGATGGTGACTACATCCAGGCTGTATTGGACCGCAACTTGGCTGAGAACATCTCCAGGGTTCTTTACCCCAATGACAACTTCTTTGAGGGCAAGGAGTTGCGTTTGAAGCAGGAGTACTTCATGTGTGCTGCCACTCTGCAGGTATGGTATCTTTTTTTTTTTTCTACCTTGTTGGAGTTTTATTGTACTCTAACTCTAATCATTCCTACTTTTCTTTAGGACATCATCCGTCGTTTCAAGTCATCGAAGTTTGGCAGCAAGGAGGCTGTTCGCACCAACTTTGACATGTTCCCTGAGAAAGTGGCCATCCAGCTTAATGACACTCATCCTTCTCTGGCTATCCCAGAGCTGATGCGCATTCTCATGGATATTGAGGGACTCTCCTGGGAGAAGGCTTGGGACATCACTGTCCGCACTTGCGCTTACACTAACCACACAGTTCTTCCTGAGGCCCTAGAAAGATGGCCTTGCTCTATGCTGGAGAGCATTTTGCCCCGTCACATGCAGATTATCTACCACATTAACTTCCTGTGGCTCGAGGTGGGTACACACTTGCCTGTGATTTGCGTATTCCTAGAATTCTTCTACTATATTTGTCTCTTTCCAGACTGTTAGCAAGAAGTACCCTGGTGACTGGGACCGTGTCCGCCGTATGTCAATGATTGAGGAAGAGGGTGAGAAGAGGGTCAATATGGCTCACCTCTCTATTGTTGGTTCACATGCAGTCAATGGTGTTGCAGCCATCCACTCTGATATCTTGGTTAAGAGCGTGTAAGTATCTATTCAATTAAAAGTGCCTTAGTTCCAATGACAGTCTAATTTAAATAAAATTTTATTTTCCAGCTTCAAGGACTTTGCTGATATGAACCCTGAGAAATTCCAGAACAAGACCAATGGTATCACTCCTCGCCGTTGGCTGTTGCTCTGCAACCCTGGACTTGCCGATCTCATTGCTGAGGTAGTCAAACTACATTCTGAAATCTCTCCTTTTCTAAACCCAAAACTAAATTAATTTTATTCCTGTAGAAAATTGGGGAAGAATGGACAGTGCATTTGGAGCAGCTTGCTCAACTCAAACCTCTGGCCAAGGATCCTAACTTCCAGAGAGCTGTCATGAAAGTCAAGCAAGAAAACAAACTTAGGCTTGCTTCACTGTTGGAGAAAGATTATGGAGTTAAGATCAATGTTTCCTCAATCTTCGACATCCAGGTATGTATTTTACAAGTCTTGTATTTATTTCCTGGATTTTGAAGTTTTGCACTCGAATTTTATTCACTTTTTTCAGGTCAAACGTATTCATGAGTACAAACGCCAGCTATTAAACTGCCTTCACATTATCACCCTGTACAATCGTATCAAGCAGAATCCTCAAGCAAAGTTTGTGCCACGCACCATCATGATCGGTGGCAAGGTAAGAATTTTGTGTTCTGTAATTTTTTACCCTGGAATTTCCCAAGCCTAACTTTATTTTTGGATTTTAGGCTGCCCCTGGTTATTACATGGCCAAGAGCATCATCCGCCTGATTTGTGCTGTTGCTAATGTTGTGAACAATGACCCTATTGTTGGTGATAAACTGAAGGTCATTTTCCTTGAAAATTACCGTGTAACATTGGCTGAGAGAATTATCCCAGCTGCTGATCTCAGTGAACAAATCTCTACTGCTGGTACTGAAGCCTCTGGAACTGGAAACATGAAATTCATGGTAATTTTTGAACATACTTTTGCTTGCTGTATTTTCAGACAATTCTTTTACCTTACGAAATCTCTCTTTGCTTGCTAGTTGAACGGTGGCCTTACAATCGGTACCTTAGATGGAGCCAATGTTGAAATGGCAGAGGAGATGGGCAATGACAATATCTTCATCTTTGGTATGACTGTTGATGAAGTTGAGGCACTCCAGAAGCGTGGATACAACGCTTATGATTACTACAATCGCATTCCTGAGTTAAGACAGTGTGTCGATCAGATCCAAAATGGATTCTTCTCCCCTGGTAATCCAGACTCTTTCCGTGATGTTGCTGACGTCCTTCTGAAATACGACAGGTACTTATTTCTTTCAGGAAATTAAACATTTCTCCAAGTCACTTTTGTAATACTTTCTAATTTATGTCAGGTTCTACTTGTTTGCCGATTATGAGGCATACATCAAGTGCCAGGACAAGGTAGCTGAAGTCTATCAGGTAAGGGTCAAACTGATATCTATCTATCCTTCCATTTTCTTATGATACTTCTGTTCTAAACACTCATTCCAATTCCTTACAGAATCAGAACAAATGGGCTGAGATGGCGATTATGAATATTGCGTCTTCAGGCAAGTTCTCAAGTGACAGAACCATTGCTGAGTATGCACGAGAGATCTGGGGTTGCGAACCATCCTGGGAGAAGCTTCCTGCTCCTCATGAACCCAAGGATGATGAGAGCAAATAGACTGCCATCAAGTGTTCCTATTGAAAATACTCAATCACAATGACAGCATGAAATGCAGCCTTTCTCGAACTAAGGCAATTTCCAGTCATATACTTAGAAAACTTAGTGCCAAATCTGTGCTATGTGATTATACCTTATTTTTTAAATTCAATTGTTATGCATTGTTAAAATTTTTAAATCTATTTAGTCAATGTGTTCATTGCATTGTCAATTTTTAGATGCTAATATTTATCAAGTTTGGATGAGCATGAATTTTTTATCTTGAATCAAATGTCATTAGTAGGTTACAGGCTCTGTTAGCATTTTCAGCTGTAGATATGTGTATGTCCTAAATCATCATTGTATGTTTTAACTGGATCTTTAATATAATTGCAGCTGAGCCCAGCGCACATTAATTTATTTAATGTCCGTACTTATATTTTAAATTGTGCCATATTTAACATTGTGATCATCTAAATTAATTCTGCAATCAAGTGCTCATACCTCATAAAAGCTCTTGCTTTTTTTGAGCTTCAAGACAGATGTATGTAGTATTAAGAGCACTGCCGTTCATGTTGTCCTGCATTGTTTTCCATTTAAAGTTTATTTTTTATAAGCATGGTCTGTTCAAAAGCCCTTAAAGTCCAACATTAATGGGTTCTGTGCCATGTTTTTACTAGTCTTTACAAATAAACAACTCTTATTTCAACTTCTGATATTTTTCATTACTTCAGTATCCTATGAGTAGACTTTCAAGCTCAACATTGATGAGAAAAGGTTCATGAACATTGTTTTGAACCAAGTTCAGTTAGTTCCACTTTTTTGGCATTCTTGTTAAACTCAAGTCACGATTGGAAACAGAATAATCCAACATTCCAATTCTATTTTATTTTCCTTAAAGTTTGAGAATGTGGCACGTCCAAGTAGTTAAGCACGTGATGTTTGAGCTCCTAGTTGCCTCTAATCCCGAAAATCCCAATTACATCCTGTTCAGGACAGGAAAAGCTGAGCTGAAAATATTTCCAGTAGCAAGACAGGTAAGAAAGATATCACTGAATCAGTATTGCCACAGATTTCTTTTTTTTCCTTGCAACATGGGGGAGTGTGTTACAAATGGTACAAAGGTAGGAAAATTGTCCTTGTTAAAATTTCATAAAAACAAAAATATAATTAATTTCAATTTCTTTATGTCATTTTCTACAATATTATAGAAAAGTTATGCGGACAGCTTTACATTATCGGTGGATCTATTTTGTGCGTCTTTCTGCATGTTTACAAAAGTAGTAATAGCTACAATGGTATTCCCTATTTGTTAATACAATTTAAGTACCAATAATTATTAATAAATGAGTGTAGAAGATCTATCAGACCTTTACACTCCCAGTCTCCTTATAAAACAATGATCATATTGACTAGACTACTAAAACCTAAAGAAAGACATCCATTACCATTTCAAAGCAATTCCATTAGTTTGTTTTGCAAATTTTCTTATCACAGTCTTACATGCAAAACTTATTCATCTTAAAACAACAGGGCCTCTAAACCAAAACGAAGTTTCTATTCCAGTTCGATCAGAGACAAATGTTGCTTCAAATTCAAAGACGACTTCATAGAATACCAATACCTCTTTTCTTTTCAACCAAGGTCTACAGAAAAATAAAGGATAAGTCTAACATGGATGTAGAGAACTAAGGAAGTTAAAGTACCAGCTCTTACACCTTTTGTCCTCTGCATCTTACCCCTATCCCAGCCGATTAAAAGCATCTATTGTATCATAAACAGCCCTATCACATGAGTAAATACTGCATGGAAAGTTTGTCACTTTTCATAATGTATTGGTTCAATTCTGGATTCCAAGTACTTCTGAAGAGCACGCCAAATTTGCTCTGAAGTGCGTCCAGGAAAGTCGACCAGAATTCCTTTTGATCTGTAATAAGCACAAAGTGGTTCTACAGTTTTCTTGTAAATATCTAGCCGCTTCAATACAGCTTCTGGCTTATCATCCTCTCTTTGCACGAGCGGCTCTCCAGTAATATCATCAATACCCTGAGAACAAGGAAATTGTTTAAAATATGGCACACCTTGATTTGTTCAATCAATGAATGGGACAAGGGTTGATTATAAGAATGTACCTCATTCTTAGGAGGCTTGAAACCTGTGTTGTATACTCTACCACTAGGTAAGTGAACCCAACGTCCTTGGACTCTTTCCACAATAACTTCAAATGGTACAACAATATTGATGGCTAGATCAACAGGATAAGATCCCATCAAATCCATCGCTTGCTTCTCTGTCCGAGGAAAGCCTGAAATACAGGGAACAATGCAGTTATCAAATTAAGATAAGAGAAGCACCACTTCCAAAAATGTGCCTTGGTCCATATGAATTTACCATCCAGCAGCCAACTGTTTTCTTTTATCTTCTCTAACTCACTGAATACAAGGTTGGTAACTACTTCATCTGGAACGAGCTCACCCTTGTCCATGTAAGACTTGACTTGTTGTCCGTATTCTACAAATTAAGAACAGGAAAAAAAACATTACATTGCTGAATAGAGGAACAAATGTTGCTCATAATTTATTTTCAAGGGAGAAAATGCAACAACTTAAAAACAATGCTGTTATAAACACATGTTGTTTAATCTCTTTTCAAAAAAAGGTTCCGCAGGTAAAATATCTAAAATGTTTTAAGGGAGGACGCCCATAACCTTGTAAATGTTCCATGCTAGGGCATTTAACGCGCAAAAGGCATTAGAAAACTATCTGATACAGAAAATTATAGGTAAACACTCGGTATTAACTCACCAGTTTTATTCTGGATATTCCACCTCAATAGATCCCCACTGGATATATGCTCCATTGCAAAACGCTTGGTTATCTTGTCTGATATAGTGCCTTTCCCAGAGGCAGGTGCTCCTAAAATAACAGCCCGGATGAGTCTTCCAATAGCCATGGTTTCTGTTTTTCCTGATCAGGTGATATTTCTGTTTTAACATAAATAGCTGCCAAAGTGCATAAAGCTTGAACTTCAAACTCTGGCGTAGCAGCCGACGGCACCGATAGACACAGACAGCCGACCGGTGGAGGATGTGTTTAGGCCCAGAAAATGAAACTTCGGCCTTTGAACTTGGTTTCCGCGCAGTCACGTGCAAGTAAAGCGGTCAAAGTATGATTCAACTTGTGTCTCTGTTTAACAAAGAAAGTCAGAGAACTTAAGTGGACGTTAGTCGTTCCGCTAGCAGACGACGATACTGACAGCTACGCCTCGTGATCGTGAAAGAGATTTCGCCCGTCTGTCCCGAGTAGGTCCCCGAGTCAAGTCCCGAGTCCCGAGCCCGAGCGCACCGCGACCGCGAGCGTGAGATTGTTTGCGGAAGGGAATCACCCAAGGGATCACCCCTCTCTTGGATCACCACCTTCTTGTGGATGGAGTTCTGAGGAATAAGTTGAACTGCAGCTGATTGACTCAGGAGTTAGGAAAACGTCATCAGAAAAATAATCATGAATAATGGTGAGATGATTTAATAAGCAAATTTGTTAACTAGACTTACACAGCACAATTAAATAACATAAAATTTCATTTTCTATATTAATTACAATGAATAGGAGCATGCATTTAATACTTCTATAAACGCACTTCATGTGGTTCTAAACCTAATTTCATACAAAAGTATTTTAGAAAAATGTACAATGACTGACAGACATAAAAGCCAAACAAATCTCTTTTCAATTTCAAAAATATATGCAAGCAGCATCCTATCATAACACAATATAGTACAAGAACATCAAAACCATAAAAAAATTAAAATACATTTTACAAAAATTCTAGATTTGCACAAAGTAATCTATCTTGTATTTACAAGACATACTAATAATTTCTTTCCTTTTTTCTTTACAAAACTGTATCGATACACTTGGTACCTTTCATACAGAAAATAAACACCCTTTTTGGACGTTTTCTTTCCCTCATAATTGAAGACATAAAATATTTACAACAATATGGCTTATCAATCAATTGACTCAGTTCTTCTTTGATTTATGAAACATTAATACAAGGTTAATAACAAAAACAATCAATAATTTAAGTAGGAGTATTCAGATAATGTAAGGAAGTGACTACCAATCATTATGGGACAATTTGATGTAAAATATTATCATAACGCCTTAAAGCTAATTACCATGAGACATATACTCTTGTTCAAAGACGGGTATATATTGTTTTGGGACATAGAATTGAAACAATCACATGTGATAGAAGTTTACTGCCTATCCACATCCACCATAGTAACATGGCTTCTCTTCCTTTCTACTATATCCAACGAGATGGCACCATTATCTCACAAAATGATCTTCAAACATAAGAGCCAAGTGTGAGGACAGATAAAAAGAGAAGGAAGAGATATTTCCCAACAATTAAAATTAGTGGTATACGCTAATGAGTCAGTTGCAGAGCACAGCTCTTGTTACTCCTGTTATATAATATGATTTAGTTAATTACATTATTTTCATTTAAATGTCATTTTTTATAAATAATAACAAATGGTACTGATGATGTCACATCAACAGCTTACTTACTGAGTGTTTAGCTCAGTAAAAGCACCAAAATCAAAAAGACTAAATTAGCGACATGCTATAACGCATATATCAGTAACAGAAAAATTTTAAAGCAGTGATTTCATAAATGCATCTTTCAGATGCCATCACTATTAGGGTACAAAACAGAATCTTTACAGAACATAACCACAGGTATGTCTGATAAATGGAAATCCATAAAAATGAGATACAACATACAAGAAAAGCAAGACAAAGTTTGGTATTGACAGCAAAACAACAAAAAGAGAAAGAAAATAAGCAACACAGCCGTCATTACAGCCAAATACTGTTTTAAGTAATTAATCATGGTCCCTCTGTGACATTAGAAAAAAGAAGAAGTGTTCTAAAACACTAAATATTTACAAATCAAGAATTTAATAACAATTTTATTGAAAGATTCAATAACAAGAAGCCTCTGTTACTTCAAGGCTTAAGGATAAGTAGCAATAATATGCTTCACATTTTCATCCTTGCTGGCAATATTTTTTACTCAGTCTTGCTGATTGACATCCGAATTTAGATTGAGCAAGACCTCATTTTTTACAGGTGAAAAGGTGCTTTTCTTGCTGCTCCAGTTGAAGTATCTGAAGCACCAGATGTCCTACGAGTCAGCTTCGTACCCAAACCTGGTGGGGCTGGAGTGCTTGAGCCTGATGGAGTTCTAGCCCTGAAAACGAAACAAATGGTATTAGAATTCAAATAGAAAAACGATTGAAAGGATACTCCCCATTAACGACACCCATAAACACAAATTCACCACATAAAACTAAGACAGAAGCAGGTGGTCAAAAGTAGAAAATGACCCCCAAATAAAAGGGTAAAATTAAAGCGTAATACTTATAGTATTGACATAAACCTTAATTTGACCTGTCGACTTTTACCTGTAATAGTAATATGCCTTCACAAGAACAGGTATGTTAGAAGACGAATTTGTTCGGACTGAACTCCGACCGGAACTCCGGCTGCATGCGTACAGAACAAGCCCATCACCACACAGAAGACGACATAAAACCCAAAGGAATGTCAAACAGGCATTTTAATGAAAAGGAAAGCACCTATTTTAGCATGCAACATGTAAACTAAGAACCCAAACACAGCAAAATCACAATTTTTTCAAAATCCTTTAATTTGTTTCCCAATAGGTCTGTTTAAATTAAAATTTATAAAAGGTGAAAAGCAGATCTCTTAAGCCCATGCAAATTTCCCTCATACTTCAACACACTCAATTAAAGCTTTCAAAAACATTTTGGGAAAAAACAGATAGAACACACTAAGCTTGTTTCCTTTACCCTGAAGTTGGACAAGAGAAAGATGAGGCTGGAAGATGTTCCTCCTGAGTATCTAAAGACGATCCAACATAGATTGGAATCTTCGAGGTGCTGCATTTACGACAAACACCAAAGACTTAAATCAATACCACATGCTTTGAAAGATTTCATAGAGAAAGTAAGATAATTTTTTTAAATCCATCTACGTCACTGTGTTTGATGGAAACACAGAGTATAAGTTCAAGTTACGAGGAAGACTGTGCAAAGCAGGGGTC